CTTTCTTTTTAGCTGGCTTACCAGTGCTTAACGGTCAAGCCTAGAGAACAGTTCGTGTCCCCCTTGGACCATGTGTGTGTATGAGTGTGAGTGCGTGTTCCACAGCGATCATGTTCACAGCATCTGAGTTATGTCTTTTTTTGGCTAGTACTGCACCTGACTAGCATGTACTCATGAGAGACAGCTAACTGCCCATCCTGAGTAAATCAGGTATCTCAACACTTGTGCCAGTCAAGGAAGGATGTCTGTACAGCAGCGCATAACATTAGTGTTATTCACCTCCAATCTGGAGACCAGGTCTCGTGGAGTGGAGTACCAAACTATTTGCTTGATGTGATCATCAGTTTTATCCAGCCTTACATTTCCTATGAATCCTTATCGAGCTGCAGTAAGAGTTAAAGGCTAGATCTGCCAGAAGTTGCGAGACAGCCAACAAGACGTAGTAGTAGCCTTGGATGCGATCGCCATTCTTCCCTCTTAGGTGCTACTCAACTGACCAACGTTTTACTGAAAGGTTAAAAGTCAACACGTATCTGAACCAGTATGTGCTTTCCTAAGCCCTATTCATTCATGCTGACCTCTCTACCATAGCACCCTGCCTCGACAAATATCTCGTGGAGTTTGCAATCAAGTCCCATAGATCGGACACAAGATTTGTCCGTTATCAACTGCAGATATATATACATGTGTGCAGCAGCATCTAAACAATCAAACAAATATACCAAAGGCTCGAGGAGTAGAGCCAGCTTTACCTCCGAGGTACCTGTGCACAGGCCAACGCCGAATCTACCCTCAGATCCCAGTGCCTAAGCTCACTCGTACTGTACTTTGGGTTTGGCAATGTCATGTACTGATTTGAGACTTGCCATTACGATGTTTACATGCAAGAGCAAGCAAGAGTTTGGGAGTTGACTCAACTTTCGGGGGTCAAACTTCAACTGCACCTATTGGAGTCTTGTACCGCAAAGGGCCACTGGTACCCATCGGTTACAGTGCGTCGTACCGGTCAGACCGTCAGCCGCCACCAGACCAGGTTCTTGTAGAGAACGAATATCCTCGAGTTCAAACTGCGGACACCAAGAGGCCCTTGCAGTTCTCGTAAAACACGGGAGCCAGCTGTCAAGCGTGCTTGTGGTTGGCCCTTCGGTGCAAGCCATCCCGGCAGCCATTACCGGTCAACTATGACCGGTTCCCATCGAATCCTTTCACGTGGCTCCCTGGAGCTTATGCACCTCGGGTTTATGTCCACGGCTCTGCACGTTGTTCAGGCAGACCTCAGAAGGCTACAACTTCAAAACCTTTGGGTAACATTTTAGTCTGAAGATTACTTTCCTTTTGCAAGGGGAAGAACTGATGACAAGTAAAACGACAACCAAAGAGGGGGATACCATCAGGCGAACAAGTTGCCAATTAGAGCATGTCTTGAGGATCAAAAATATAAATTCAATCATTTATTGTTTATTTTATTGTGATCATCGGATTTTCATAGCTATACATAATTTATTATTTTATGTTATACATGGAATACTAATCATATTGTGCACTATTTGTAATTTTCTTTTTTTTATCTGATATTTCAAATTAAAAAAAGAAAATTACAAAATAATAAAATGATAAGTTTTATTTGTAATCGTTGGTTGTTGTAAGGTTTTTTCAAAATTCTACCATCTCACGGTAGCCTTTTATTTCATATCATTAAACTCCTTGTGGTTTGAATTCTAACATAACTATCAATATACTTACTCCATATATACATATTCTATTCCTTTTTTCAAAAAGACATTTTTTTAAAATTTTCAGTTTTTCTTACTAAATGTAGCCAAATTATTTACTCTCTTGCTTCAAATAAAGTAATTTGGTCTTCATCATGCATGAGCTATTTTTTATTTTCTTTAATTACCTTTTTAAGTGATTTTTGTTATATTTATTTATTTATTTATTTATTTATATTTATATTCATCTTTATGATTGTGATACAAATTTTAATTGAAAAAATCATCAATATCATGTGAATTCAATCGTCCATGATTTCATATAATTTATCTTGATACTAGTCAAATTTTGTCATATCAAATGAGCATTACATAATAGAATTGTGTACACATATGTGTGATTTTATTTTCAATAGCAACATTCTTGCATATGGCTTGTTGTCATATTATGTTTGCTATGAAACAAAATAAAATATGTGATGTTATATAATGTTTTTTATATAACAAAAGTGTAGATTGCTTGCGTAAAGTTGGCGTTGAAAGATTTGAAAACTGATGGAATTGGCTGAACATACATACACTTCTTCCAAGAAACTTGATGTTGATCACAAAGTCATCAACATTGTATATGAATGCAGAAGATGAGATTTCTGAAGAACGTTATTTCACACGGTTATGGTATGCTGGCAAGTAGAGTTACAAAATTCAAAGTCTTCGATTATATGGTGTGCTTTGAAAGTATATTGATTTATGATTTCTACTTTTGACATGTTGGTAAAGAGTGCAAGAGAGAAAAAATGATATGGAAAAGTGTATAATATGATGGGACTAGGTTAAGTTATCATCATGATTGAAAACATGTCCTAGTGCATCTTAGATATTCAAACTATCTAAAGTAATGTTATTACATGCTACACCTTAAATCTCAATATGCATGTCAAACATGACAGTTCTACGATGAAATAAACCCTCTAGTCTATAGAGAATAATGTATTCATTTTGTCTAAAAGGATAAAATAAAAAAGGAGTTTATGTATATGAGTTAATTTCATAAAATTTAGAACATAGACAAGTAACTAAAATTTCACATTTATTGTCCAAAGAACAATATTAATCAAGTGTCTTGCCATGTCCATGAAACATGATACTAAATTACCTTCCTTTGATCTAAAATTCCAAGTAAATTTACTATAACTATATCTTACTATTTACTATAACTGCATATATATATATATATATATATATATATATATATGTGTGCATAACCAAGATATAGCTAGAATACCTGACACGCCTAACAATGGTAAAACATAAGGCAAGTATCAAATCAAGTCATTTCTCGCCCAAGAAAGAAGGAGTTCAAAATTTGATGTTTTTCTTTTTCATGAATGTCAAAACAGACCTGAAATAAAGATGTTACTCCAAGTTAATGGAGTGGAATACTGATGCTGTAGTCTACCTGCTTGAAGCACTGAAGTGTAATCATCATAACGAAGTATACGCTCAGCACACCCCACGCGAAGGAATTAGTGCCCAAGAAGATTCATCGATATTGCTTGCGTAAGCTTTCTCATAACCCGTATAAAATACGCAACAGAAACCTTTGTATCTACTTGTACGGTTCAAATTTGAACGTAGTTTGGTATCTGAACGACCTGAACTCTATCTACGCTTATGATTCCTTTAGAATCTGTATTCTAGAACGTATCGATGATTTGTACTGTCATCTGACGTTCGATTCCATAAAGCTGCTTTAAGATCGACTGCACGGAAATTCCGATATGGATGATAACGTGCTTTCCGACTAGGACTGAAGGTGAGAAGAAAACATTTGCCCACCAAAACATCAAAGTACCAATCAACCAATAGTTGGTTGATTTTATCTTCCGAATAATCTTTTATCTTGATTTTTGAAAATTTTTTTCCGAGCAATGGGCGAATTGGAGGTATCATAAGTAAGGAAAATAAGGAGAAAGGATTGATACTGAGAGTCAAACAAATATCTTATATCTTTAAATTATGGTGAATGTACAAATAAAAGATAGCTAGATCAGAGAGACTGAATTGAAGAGTTTTTTTAATGAATGATGGAAGGTAAAGACCAGGTGTTTTCGCATTGAAAGAATTCTCTTGCAATGGAAATCTCACCATTCGTCTCAAAAAATTTGAATGATGGAAGGATTTTGAAAGGATAAGAAAAGAAAAAAATCTTTCAAAAAACCATTTGGCTCAAAAAATAATGAATGATGGAAGGTAAAGACCAGGTGCTTTCGCATTGAAAGAATTCTCTTGCAATGGAAATCTCACCATTTGTCTCAAAAAAAGAAGAAGAATTCTCCCAAGATGATAAGATTCCTGTGGATGTAGAACTTGAAAGTTCAGTGGGAAAAAGACCAGAAAACGGTTTCGTGTCTCCACTCTTAGTTTACATTCCTCTCTTAGAATAAGCCTATCAATGTACTTCATGTTGAGTTTGTATATGTCAAAACTTTCTGCCAACAAAGTCCACAAAACACGAGCAAGCGGTAAACGGGGCCAGCAAGTGCACCACGTGGTTTGTGTTGTGTTTTGCCTTGGCATTCATATCCGACACAAGTAAGCAATATGCTTTATGACAGCCAAGATCAGGAATGTCATACTTTCAGTTTTGTGAAGACATTCCAGCTTTCAATAACAGGTCGTACGAAAGCACTTGGGATATGGGATATGGCTCAGTAAGCTTGTGCTCCCAAGTCCAATAATAAACCTGACATAGGCACGAGAAATTGAAAGAATGCCGCCACTAAGTGTATAGTTTATGGATTGCCCAGAAACTGAAAGTATGACTGTTCACATCACCTGCAACCATGAAGGGAATGAGTGAAGTCTATCCCATAAGGCTACTTTGCAAAAACAACTCCAATAATTATCTGACATGCACATGAGGAGATCGAAAGAGTACCACCACTACTATCGACAACGTTCTGGTTGATAATTTGTAATCGTGACATTTCCCCTTAATCCATGTCAATGAGGAAGCGCAAAGGTCATCGACGGAGATAACATTGAAAGAGCATCGAACATTCGGAAAGATGTCAATTCGAATCCGAGAACCGAGTGGGAATTGTTTCAACAAAGTTACTAATTCTCAGTGGACCTGAATTGTTGAAACGGGAGGCTGATACAGTCAGGCGAGAGTGGGAAGCAACAAGATGACGAGTCACGAGTGGCTTCTCCGGCACTCTTGATCTGGACTTGGTGATGGACATTTGCCCTCGCTATCAGCCATTAACTTTTGGCAAGAGGATTAGATTGAATGCACTTTTCCAGAAATATATTGAAGGTGAAAGGAATTCGAGGCCCAGAACCAATAGACCACTCACCTTTCGAAACAGTTGGATGAAAGTGGGTGGATAAAACAAAAGGGCCACAAAAGGCAGACTGAGTGGCTTCTGTCAAGAGTAAAGCCACAAAGAGACTCGGGGTCAAGTAGGGTCAATTTACGTTCGTCACGGTCAACCATTTTTAGAGAGAGTCATGTGAGAGTACGTGGAAAACCCCTGATATTGTCTTTTCGGGCCATCCTTCGTTCACCGCATGCCGAGGTGATGGCAATTTGTGGACGCTCATTCGTGCAGAGAAGAAAGAGGGAGGAAGAGTCAATAAGCGAGGACTGGGAGGAGAATGGGACACCGAACTGTCACCGAGGAGACAAGACGAAACGAAACGAAACGGGAAGAACAATCGACGACTCACGGGAATGAAATGGGGCGCATTTGTATTTAAGAGCGGCCAGTCAAAATGCTGAATTGGACTCGAGGGTCGAGAGGCACGACCACCTCTCGATTCACCCCTCCCCTTCCAATTTCAAGGCTCAGCTTCTTTGGGTCCGAGAAACGTCGTCTACTTGTCTGCGCGTCGCTGCGAAGCCCTGCTCCGCTCGAGAGAGCGCCGTTGGACGTTGCGATGCGTCGTAAGGATGTGCGCAATGTTTCCCAAAAGGACAGACAGTCGTATTGGACGAGCACTCTGATTTCGCAGTCATACGGGACGGGGCACGGGTACACCGCACAAAGTACCTCTGTCCTCATGATGTTGCTGCCTTTTCCTGCAAACCCTAAAGTTGTGAGCCCAAGAGAAAGTGGAGCATAAAAGTTGAATATTCCACCGATCTCCATGACGAGTGGTCGAGCTTGCATGGCCAGTCGACAAACTGTCATTTGTCCAGGGAATGTACCAAATGCTCTATAATCATAATCTACTTTTCCGCATACGTATTCTGTTCCCCAGATGCTCCTCGGTTCCCTTCTCATTTCCCATTTCCCTTCTAGACTCACCAGACTGCTGATGACACAGGGGCTCGCCCCATATTACTCTTCATGGGGTCTTCCCATCTTTTTGGTTTTTTAACTTATCAACTTCGTCCTTTCTACTGCAATAATAGAGCTTTAGTAAACTCTAAGGGGGAGATATGAAGACATTGATGGATTTTGGTTCATAACACCCTAAGAAAAATGTTCAATAGATCATGGCTAGACTCTTAGGCGATCCAGAGGGCAATGTATAACGTATGGTTGTGATTCCGATGCAAACCCAAATACTGGAGAAGGGACGATTAGCAAGTTACGAAGTTTTTAGTCATAGTACAACTTTTTATAACGTCTGCTATACGGGTCTGTGATTAAGAAACCTTACCGATCATGGTCCATTGGTTTTATTGCTTTGATTCATTATCAGCTATGATTCTTAGGAATTACAATGAAAATTTGCATTTCATGGTTTATTTGCATGATTCTTCAGAGTGATGCAACTGAGTTCAGAATGTTCAAATAAAAGCAGGCACCGCTTATTCGTGTAAGAGCTAGTTTTATTTTCCCTTGAAATCTCGCATTAAAGAAGCATATGATGCATGTCAACATGCAGACTTTTATAGAAGGATGCTGGCGTTGTAGACAATTATCATGAAACATGTAATGGGGTCCATATCTTAGTGTTGGAAACTAGTCATACGACTCGTTCAGCGCTTCGGAGATTTGCCAAAGCTCCGAAGATCACGTTACAGTCTATTTTCGCAAGCCAAAATCTCTACATCTACACGTTCATATCATGGGCTGTCTAGCCAGTGGGTTCGGCATGGATTCTTGCTTCGAGACTGGGAGACTAATGAGGCATCTATCAAGCCAGTCAGTCTAGCGTATGTTGGCCGGGAGAGAGACAAAGAGCAGAGATATCATTGACAATCTACGCGCAAGTTCTGTTTCCTCAGTGGACCCTCGACAATAATCCCGGCGCTATTATATGTCTTCAAAATTTTGAAGATATGTCCGAACGGAGATCCAAGCGGGCCATAACACATGAGGCTCACTTACCCTTTCACTTTACGAAATTGATTCTTAATCCTGCGTGAGAACGAGGTGGATCTCCACGGTGAGTCAGGAATGAAATCAGGGAAAGCGTCACCTGCTCAACGAAAAGGTTTTGCAATCAATTAATTAGCGTTTGGACCCCGTTAGCAAGGATTCACCACTCAACTCAGGGCGGTCCTATGTCTTCAGCCTTTCAGCTCCCAACGCTCTATCTTTAGTACTTCTTCTCGATCTTTTCTCGAATCGAAGGTAGCCAAGATTTGAAGGCATCTTCTCACTGGTACGTAGAAGTGCACTGGCGAGATCTCAACCATAATCCGTGTTCCGAGATCTTCTTCAACATCGGGATATCGAAGTTGAGTCGTAAGGTCGACATGGGTAACAGCAAAACGCCTTTTTGTCATGCCAGGAAGAAACGAAGGAAAGTGAGAAGGTCTCGATTATTAACTCGCAGTTATTAAACCGACCAGAATCCAGAGTGAGTGTGTGTGTTTGCTAGCCGAACTCATCTTCGAACACACGAACATTCATTCATTCCATAGATGGGGGACCGGATTAAGAGATTTACCCTTTTGCCAAGAAACAAGGGATGCAGTGACAAGACACAGCAATGTGACAATGAGTCCTGGTCATCTTCAGACTGCTAAAAATCTCAACCTCAATAACAATATGCGAAAAGTGAGGCAGCAAATGATCATGTGATGGGTGTAGGTTCCACCTGAGCTTTGAAAACCCGGAAACAGGCGAGGCATCGGGCACTACCATAGTAAATACTTCCAGATCACTTGCTCTTCTCTCCTAAAAAAGCAAAGTTTTATGATGCGAGGATTTCTTGTTCGGTAATTCAATCCATGAAGAACTTTTTACTTATCTTCTTTATTACTTCCGAGAGGAAGACTAAATCATGGATTGGGACCGACTTTGTTACTAACCGAGGATTTCTTCTTTATTGCCAAGAAAGAATCTTAGAAAGCGAACTGTACCAGGATTCATCCGGGTAACGCACTTTTCAGAAGGCCAAGTGAAGAAGAATTTCAAACCAAACGGAGAACAGCCATCACGACGGATGCTTCATTTCCCAGTTTACTTTTCCCTGTAACGTCGTAGTACATTCTCAGACTATTTATTTGGGTTTCATAAATTTTGCATCTGAAAGGATGTAAGGTCGGTTATACATACATACATACATACTTTGATGTTTTTCTTGCGTGGAAACTTACAATAGTGATTTAGAGGATTTTATTTTCCGGAAGTTCAAAGATACCTACACTCTGTATCCGAGTGGAATCAAAGGCTCATCAGGATCCAGAGTAGCGATTAACATGTATCCTATTTCTTGATTGGCCTCGATGGACATCATCAAATCGAAAAGAGTCGAGTATAGTGATTACAAAGGAATATTATCTGGCAACTTTTATAAAGAGTAGAGTAATATAAAAAACCCCTCCTGCAAAAAGAATCTCTGAGTACAATCCGGAGAAGCTCCGAGGAGACCATGACAGGAAACAGCTGCATGGCACGGTTCCAGTGGAAGATCTACCACATTCTCTACAACTTCTGGTCGCCATGACAGCCTCCCTTGATAAAACTCAGTCAGATGCACTAGTCCCCAAACAATCTTACACGAGCAAACCTTCACCACTTGCCTTTCCACATTGAGTCGCACATAATCTATACCCATGGCTAATACCAACTGCACATGTTGCATGAAAGTCATCTATCCATGCAAATTCTTCTTACATACCACACCACAGCAAGCAAACCGCCGGGACGAGTCGTGCCCTCGTGCAAATCTAGGCATCGTCATCACCAAAAAAGTTGATGCAATCGAAACACGTAAACAAACTGCACACAACAGATCCGACCTCCTTTCACTACACCGCTCCACCAAAATCTCAAAACCTCTATCATTGCCGCCCCAGTGCATGGCAGAGCATATCACATTAAGTTTCCGATTGGCGAAAGAAAATTTCACCTTTTCCATATCAAACCAATCCATGAACAAAATAGAATTTAAATATATATTCCATCATTCTTAAAACCTACCAATCCACAAACATAATACGGTTTGAGAATATACCATGCTAGACTATATATATATATATTATCATCTTGTGTACATTGTCTAATATATTGTCCAACAACGCATTTTTATTAACTAAACATTATTTGGCATGGACTTAAAATTATTAGCCTTGGATTGATCATGTTTGTTCAGGCATACATAAAGCAACATATGATGATCTCTGATGTCTGCTATATGAAATATTTTTCATTAATGCCTCGTAGTATCCGGTCTAGTTAGAATTTTCGATCGTTTTTTTCTAGTAAGGATTGTTGATGAGATTTTGGAATCTTTGCCCTTATCCCCTTGGTCCCCTTTTACATTCGGACGTATAGCAACGGAAGATTCAATGGTGATTTCCATGAGAATTGACTTGCTCACCCTACGAGCCTAACTTGCAAAGATGCCGTCAGTCGCTCCAAACTTCAACCGAATCAGAAGAAGATCGCGTAGAACTGATCTATTGTGATTCCGGCCAACGAAAGCCCGCTATTTGGGGATCATGGTATACCACACGGCCGTATTTAATCCTATAGGGCATAGAGTTGCCCATGAACAGGGAGGTGACAAGCTCGGACCCACGCGTGCGCATGGCACGTGGCGCAGGCCACATGGCCTCCATCACTGTCAGCCATACACTGCGCAGATCTGGGTAGGTCAGAGTCCACTGCTGTTGGCTGGCTCGCTGGAGGGAACTGATCTGCTGTGCAGTTCGTTGGTTTCGCTTCGTACGTAGTTCTAACCTTTAAACTAAATCCCTAACAGTTTGGCTCTAGAACGACCGGGTAGATGACGAACCTTATCCCCTGCTCTGCAGTCTGTGTCTAGCTCGACGTGAAAAGCGGGCAGTTCCATTCAGCTCTTTCAAATCTATTCGCCGGATTTTGGTCTTACTCGTTCGAAGATTTTCTCTCTGAGACCCATTTTGGACCCCTCCTCACACCTTAGCTGCAACGGTTACTTCATGGTCCATGAAGTAAACCCATGGATCATGGGTGACCGTATGTCAGTATACAAGGCGTAATTTTTCAGGAAAAGAAAGACGAGAGTTTAGATGCAGATCACCGAAATTTTGCTTGGTTTCGAGAGCCAAGCTTTTCAGTCAGGGCGGACAATCATTGATCCGTAGGCTCCTGGAATTGGCGAAGGTGATCACACACATGCGTCTTTGTTCGGCAGAATGACCTATGGATGGTTACGACTTGCCAAATTTTTGCCTTCTCTTATAACTCCGATTTGTTTCTACTTTGACAGATGATTGTTAGTTTTTGTTTTCTTGCATGATGTCTCTCCCTAATCCATCCACTCCTCCGACTAGCCAAGTTTGATACACAGCAAATTAAAGAGCAATAATCCTAGAGAAAAGTGTTGAGATTGTATACACAGATGCTTCGACATATGAGAGAAAATTTTTTTCATATATAAACGAAGATTCTTATCAGTAAATGATTCTACCACCAATCACTAATCTTCTAACGGATGAATATGAAAAAACAAAAAAAAACCTCAAGTGGAAATTCACACTAATTTATCTATGTAAATATTAGATGATGCATGTTTTCTGTTGCTATGATAGTACATTCATATATATTTACAACTTCATAACAGCTAATATCCTTAAAATTTCACATAAATTAGTAAGATGCTCTAATTCAAGTATATTTTTATAATATTGTCATTTTAACTGAAATTTTATGTTTGTCAATAGGTGGTCATAAAGATATATAAGAGGTTTTAATCTCCCAATGGGAGCAAAAAATTATCAATAAATGAAATTCTTTTATATCGTCTTACAAGAATATGAACAAAATGTATTTTTAACTTGATATTACTAATATCATCAAATTATAAATTGTAAAAAAATTATTTTTCCTTAAGTTGTCGATGATATTTGACCTCATAATTAATATTTATAATAAAACACGGAAAATGGTATTCTTCGTGCAGCTATTCGGCTGGGTAGTTAGAGATATACGCACTGATCACATGTAGGCGCATTAGAGCTCTGTTAGGAAGGGATTTTTCCGCGCCTGTAGGACTGCCCGGACTTTTAATCTCTTAATATTTTACCTTCGTATTTAATCTCTTAATATTTTACCGAACTTAATATTTTATCTTCGTTCTTGAAAGTAGATTGATTTAATTTCTGATATCATAATATTTTTATCAAAAAATAAATATTACAAAGACATGTAT